CTCGCCGTTGGCCTCGACCCGCTTCATGAAGAGGTCCGAAACCCACCACGAAAAGAAGAGGTCGCGCGCGCGCTGCTCCTCCTTGCCGTGGTTCTTCTTGAGGTCGAGGAAGGAGAGGATGTCCGCGTGCCACGGCTCCAGGTAGCACGCGAACGCGCCCTTGCGCTTGCCGCCGCCCTGGTCGACGTAGCGCGCCGTGTTGTCAAACACGCGCAGCATCGGCACCAGCCCGTTGGAGGAGCCTCCCGAGCCCTTGATGTAGGAGCCCTGCGCGCGGATGTCGTGCACGGAGAGCCCGATCCCGCCCGCCGACTTGGAGATCTGCGCGCACAGCTTGAGCGTCTCGAAGATGCCCTCGATCGAGTCGTCCTTCATCGCGAGCAGGAAGCAGGAGGACATCTGCGGGCGCGGCGTGAGGCGGGAGTCGCGAGGGCAGCGGGGAGGGAGGAGGCAGCAGGGAAGAGGGAGGCAGCAGGGAAGAGGGAGGCAGCAGGGAGGAGGGGAACGCCGGAGGCAGCAGCGAGCAGGGGGGGAGGCGAGAGGCGGTGCGTGAGGGAGGAGGTGAGGGTGGTGGGCCGCCTGCGGGCATGGCGTCCCCGCGTTGAACATGGTCGGCGTCGCGTGCGTGAACCACTTCTGCGACATGAGCTCGTAGGTCTCGACCGCCGCGTCGAGGTCGGTCTTGTGGATCCCGATGGCCACCCGCATCAGCATGTGCTGCGGCCGCTCCACCACCTTGCCCTTCATGCGCAGGAGGTAGGCCTTCTCGAGCGTCTTGAAGCCGAAAAAGTCATACTCGAAGTCGCGGTCGTAGACGAGGAGAGGGTCGAGCCGCTCGCGGTTGTCCTGGATGATGGAGTGCACCTCGTCCGAGATGAGCGGCGCGTCCGCGCCCGTGCGCGGGTTGACGTACCTGCAGCAGCGCGAGGGGAGGCGCTCGCGCGAGGGAGGCGCTCGCGCGTGGTCCGGCGGCAGGGGCGGCGCGGCACTTGTGGAGCTTGTCCATGGTGGCGGAGAAGGACTTGTCGGTCATCTTGTGCAGGTTGGAGACGGCGATCCTGCGCGGCACCGGCGCGCCGGGCTCGGGTGTGCGCGCGCGCATCGCGTGCGGCCCCGCGCGGGGCAGGGCGGGGCGGGGCGGGCGGCTGCGGGAGGGCCGGGCCGAGGGGCGAGGCTGGTAGGGAGGGGGGGGTCTTGTGGAGATGGTTTTGG